GGATGCGGTGGGGGAGGGCGGCGGGCCGCGGGGGGAGGCAGGACCCCGGAGGGGGCTGCGGGAGGCAGCGGTTCCGCTCCGCGGCAGTCGCTCCGGGGACGGGGAGGGCATCCTTTAAAAAACCCTTTTCCAAACAAACCCCAAAGAACTGCAGGCGTTTAAGTCATCTCCTGTACTGTTTTAAAGCCAAGGGTGGCAATCAGATTATAAGCAGGAGCCTGAACCAGCCTAAAGGCAGAACAGAGCCAAGACCTCCGCAGAGCAAGAGCTGGCCGAAGGGCAACCACGGTACAGTAAGTTGTTGACCATCAACCAGTTTCCAAATCCTCTTTGTGACTGGCAGTGCTCGTACCCTGCCCAGCCCCGGCTTGTGAAGTGCTGGGGAGAGGCTAAAGGACCCTAAGCGTTGAGTACCGGCAGCTGCCTTTGTAAAGAGCTGAAGGTCGCCCACCCCTTCCGAGGGCTCAGCGTGGGTCCAGGCAGGGCCGACAGCAAAGCGCCCCTGCAGAGGGCCAAGGCACAGCACAGCCAGCCCCACCCGAGAGGTCAAAGTGACCCCCTTGCCCACCTTCTTTAGCAGTTGAGTTTACGAGCTTTCTTCCTTTCTCTGCTGCATGTATTATCGAATAGCAAATTAAATGCATTTAATAATTACATACAGCATAGCTTTAAGTCTTACCACCACCTACATTTTTTTTCCCCCCCAAGTTTAATGTTTACCATTAGAGGATTCAGTATTGTGCTAGGAGCATAAGCTATAGACATGGTCAGGTACAGATGATGACTCTTAAAATGGAGGACAGATTCAACACTTAACTAGTACTACTGTGGAAGCTTAAGTGCACTCAGTTCCATCCTCATCCTCCAACTTTCCTCGACCAGGATTATGTGGCACTTAAGATGAGCCTTGAGGGTGGTTCTGTAGTATTAAAGCTGGTTTGTTGCTCAACTTTAAGATGACCAGCCCTTTAAAAATAAACTCGTTCATATAATCCAAAAACCTTTTAACCTGAAGCAAAAAAGACGACGACTATATTTTTTCAAGATCTATCTAGGATTACAGAGAGAAGACCCTAATATTCCTCTGTATAGTAAGAATACCATATAATTTAGTTTCATGATAGTTAATCTTATTTTTCATGCTGATGCTATGTGTGCGTGCATGCAAGACAGTGAAGGAGAGAAAGGGAGACCTGCCTTTGGAGCTCTTACGTGCTTCACTTTATTTTAACTAAATGCAAATTATTGCAGATAACAGGTGCATTTCTTCTTGCACAAATATTCTGAAAAGTCTCAAACTCATCAGAAAGTAGCAAAACATACCCAGAATTTGACATTTTTCAAGGGCAACAAAGAAACATCTATTTCTTTGCTTCCCTCAGCCCAAACGTTTGCTTTCCAAGCTGTGAGCCTGGGATGATTCCTTGGAGAAGGATGGATATAAAATACATAATACTTACTTGAAGCAGGCAGAGAGCCTTGAGGGAAATACAAAACACTTTGCAGTGCAACAGATAACATCAGAAATGTGGCTTCCCTTTACCTGGGGTGCCACTGAGGCAAACTGTGTTTTTCTCCCCCATCGCTCCACCAACTGAACAACACAGTGAGAACATAGATGTTGTCACAAGGAAACATGAGGATGTTTATCCTGTATTTACTCCCAGTAATTAACGACAGTTTTAAAACTTTTTTTAAAAGGTTTCCGTAAGAGTAGTTGCACACCTTGTTTTCATTTCTATTAAAAATACCCGATAGAAGAAATCAAGAATAAAAATTCTCACTAACAAGAATGGGTTAGATCCCTTGTGCCCATGCTTTAAACAGGTAATACGGTTGTGTGTGGGAAGAAAGCGAATGGTAGAGGTTGTACCTCCAAGTACAGCTTAAAAGTTTAGGTTTTGTTTTGATTTCAACCTTTGACTTTCGCCATTTGTTCTATGTGACCTTTCTTGCAGTTGGAAATTACTGGGGCAAATGCTATGCTCTTTCATCCTCAAGTTGTTGTAGGAGAGGGTGGTAAGTGTCTTGTTAAAATGGATTATGTCATCCATGGATTCCCCTGCTAGAAAGCCTTTCAGATGATGGAGTAAGTCTTGACAGGAAGAAATGTATGGATTCATATTTAATTTAAAAATAATCTTGGAATAGCAAAGGAACACTTACAACTTTCTGCATCCTATCCAAATTAAAATATTTAATGATATTTATCAGTGATATATATACACACACACAATATGACATAGCACTGATGAGTATGCTGGCTAAAAATTGTTTCCTCTTAAATATATATTGCAAGGAAGACACTTCCTCTATCTCGTAAATGGTCATTTCATTTTTTTAAGCAAAAAGCATCTCTGACTCCAACTGAAACGGGATCAAGATTTTTAGTTTAATAACTATAGTGAAGAAAAAATATGCAAAATATATATGACTGAATGCATCCTGGGGCAAACTGGAATTCAATTTTTCATATTAAGTTTTTGTACCAGAAGAAATATAGAAGCTTCACAAAATGCATTAGTTTGTGGTGGTGGGGGTTGTTTAGTTTTTTGTTTGGTTGGGATTTTTTTTTTTGGGTGGGTGGGGGTGTTGACTGATTGTGACTAATAAGGGGGGAAAAAAATTAACTTCTGCTTGGAAAACAACCTGGAGTTTTTCTTCCATATTACTTTGCTTTTATGAGTAAGAAGGATTAAAACCCCAATGTCACTTCTCATTCATATACAGGCAGGAAGTATTTGTCTATCATCTAAAAACGTGTGGTATGATGGAACACAAGATCTTTTCACCCTTTTATATTTTTGTGAAAATAGTTGTTGATTATCATATAATTATTTGTTCCTCGGCATTGCAAAGCGGTGCAATAAACTGTTTTCTGAAGACAGAGAATTTAGACCTTACTGCTTAAAAATATTCAATAGAAGTGACATGAAATGAGCTCTTAAGGGGCAACTCAATCACAACACAGCCTTACAAGGGCTGCTGCTGCTGTAAATGTTCAGCATAATCTCATTTAAATAACAATGCAAAAGTCAGGAACTTGAGAAATGGGGAGGAGAATGAAGGGAAGCATGCCTGGAAAAGAAACCACTGTATTAATACCTTGTATTCAGAATTTTATTCCATCAGATCACCTAGTACTGAGATATTTCCCTCAAAGTATCAGTAGCTGATTTCAGTCTTTAATACACTATAGGGCCTGATCCAAAATTACCTGAGGTTAATGAGTCCAGTGTGAATTACTTGATTAAGATAAATGACTTTACTGCAAGCAACTTTTGCTTACAGGGATTACCACTAGCATGCCACTTCAAAGTAATATTAATATAAAATTAATAACTGACCTGCAAGTTATTAAAGCAGGTTTACAGAATGGTGGTGTAACCTACCATTATTCTCTTAAAACTTTAAATAAATTCAGTGCTGTTTTCTCAGGCAATATCCAAACGCTCTACCTAGTTTATAAATTTTGCTCAAGTTATGTGAGGGATTATTCCTAAATTTAATTTGCTCTGAAAGGCTAGTATTCACATTCCATAAACTTAAGAAGCAAGAAGGTAAGTCCAGAACATTTCTGAATAAAATAGCACTTCCATCTCAGTTCACTATGCCAGTACAGAGACATAATCACCTTTAGAACACAGGTTCTTATCACTCCCTTGCACCACCCCCCCCCCCCTTTTTTTTTTTTTTTCCTACA